TAAGGTCCAGTCATGTCTAGTCAGTACTTGGAAAGTTAGCCTCTAATAAGAATAATACATAGCCACAACCCCATATCCAAAATCCAAAGGGTCTTGAAAACCAAAAAACTTTTTAATAACTTATTTGGCAACAAAACAGGACCTGAACTGGTGGGAGGCTATTGATACCTTTTATTTACCTTTATTTGTATACTTAGTGTAAATATTCATATTTTTTTTCCTGTTTGATGACAGGGTGTTGCCCCAGTCCCCTCTGAGAATGTGATGTGCTACATGGGATATGCCCCATATTTCCTTTCTAAAATACCAAAAAAAGAGGAAAAAAAAGTCAGAATTCTGAAACACAGCTGGTCCCAAAGGTTTGGATAAAGTCTCGTGGGTCTTTATAGATGAAGCAAGTCTTTGCCTAATCAGAGGCTCACATCTCTCACTCTGAGTAATAAGTACATTCGTTATTGAAGGCCCAGTTTCTGCTCTGTTGTAAACCCGATCATCTTGTCCATTGAAATAAACTCTCTGATAGTGGTAGAATTAATGGGGACGCTGGGAAATGATAATGTGTTTGAATTGCCACATGATGAAATTGGGAAGGTTGTCATCTTCTTTTTTTTTTTTTTTCAAGTAAAACATAAACTCAGATGTAATGCATAAGGATACCTTAAAACCCGTCATCTGGGGCCGGCCGAGTGGCGCGTTGGTTAAGAACTGGCTTGGGACGCCAGAGGCCCCAGTTCGGATCCCACATATGAGGGCCAGTGACACTGCCCTCTACAGCTAAGATGCTGAACAACAGCTCGACTTGGAGCTGGGCTGCCGGTGAGTCGCCGGGGACGGCAGGTGGGTTGCCATGGGCTACCGAGTGTAGCCAGCAGCCAGTGTGAGCGGCCAGCAGCCGCCGGGAGCAGCCGTCCAGAGGCCGGCGACTGATCTGCCTCGCCCAGGAAGAGCGCAATGATGGTGCCAGCTTGGGCCAGTGAAGCAACATCCTCCACAACTAGACTGAAGAACAAAACAACAGCAACTTGTCTGTTCCCCTCCCCCAATTCCCCAATAAAAATCTTAAAAAAAAAAAAAATCCGTCATCTGTCCATTCACCCAACCAGCCACCAATCCATCCAAATATGGGACCTCCTTGCCACTTGCAAAGATCGTCTGTTGTTTGCAACACACTAGCTGCCAGTTAGTAAAATTTTGTTGCCTGTCAAAAGCCCACGTTGAGGTATCGAGCCACCCGGCTTTCTTACTATACAATCCATAAGGGGGCAGGGTTGGATCTACAGCCATCATTGTACCTGATAGAAATGTACCTGGTAGAATGGATGTTTTCTTCTGGAAAATGCGTGGTTGGTGTCAGGGCCCAAGGTTTATGTTTCAAAGGCTTTAACAATAGGAGATGCTGGCTGCTTGCTGGTGGAAACTTAGAAAAGCACAGCCAGGAGAACTGAAGATTTGGTATTTTCCTCTTGGGGTCATTGCCTGGATTGCGTATCTTTGCAAGATTTTGGTTGACCTTGGGTAGCTTTTTTTCCTATCTGTATGTTTGTCTATTCATCCAATGAACATGGATCTCACGAGTTGGTAAGATTCTGCTCAGAAGTTCATTTCTTTCCTAGCCTAAGTCGCAATGGCATTGCTAATCATAGAGCTAACTGATCTTTAAAATAGGGATTTTAATCTTGAAAAGCTGTTATTTGGTGAACACTCATTGTGGTCTCAGATATTGTAATAAATGCTCTATGTACCAGATCTTGCTTAATCCCTGCAACTCTTTTCAGGAAGGAACTCATTTGATAGATGAAGAAACAAAGGCCCAGGGAAGTTAAGTGACTTGCCTAAGGTCACATAGCTATTAAATAGCAGGGCCTGGACTCATCCAGGACCATCTGATGCTAGAGCCCTTGGTCTTAATTACTGAATCCCTCTGGGCTCTAACATTTTCATTTGAAGATCTGGGGAAATTCACATTATGGCAAAAGGGTAAAATATCTTAACTAGGGATTAAGTATTAAAGAGAAGAAAGATAGCCTTCCCCTTCCTTGCTAACTAAAAAGATGCTTTCTGGCACTTTCTAGGGAACTTAAATCCCCGACCCCAACCCCCCACCCTCAGATTCATAAAATTTTAAAAATCAATCCCAAATAGTGGTGTGCTGGAGTTGGCTGCTACTGACTCACAAAAACTGAACTTGTGCCTCTCTTCCCAACTGCAAGTTCAGTGACATGTTGGTAAGCTTGAAATCAGCCACTGTGGGACTATTTCCACCATGGAAATTGGCATGGCTACAAATCATGGCTTTTCCCCCTTGGAGATCTAGTTATTAAACATTTATAAGCATACGAGTACACTGACCCAAAAATAAAATCAGCATCAGTAGCAAATGGCTCACTAGAAAAAAACAAACCCCATCAAACACTCTGACTTCCTATGGGAACCTTGCCTGGGCTCCATGTTTCTGTCAGGTCTGGCTGAAGTTCTAGGTCAGGTTCCGCCCTGGCAAGTCACAGTAGAACCTCCACTACTCTCAGTGTGACCACTATGTCTTTCTTTTTTTTGCTGCAGGTGACAATTTTTGGTCACACTTCTAAAACCAGCCAAAGGCAACAAAGATGGTTCTTTTTATCTTCTGAGTCCAAATTCTACATTATGTTTTTGCTTCAGTTTGGGAGAACGGGTGGCCAAATGTCAGAGGCGAAAAACGTTGCCGCGGGTAGCTTGTTTGGGGAGATGAAATGCTATTAGAAGTCTACTGGCTGAAGGGCCTTTTTCTTAGAATCTAAGCAGTCAACTGAAAAAATTGAGATGTTGCTTTGACCTGGAAATTCCATTTCTCAGCACCTAGCCAACAGAAATATTTTTCAACTGGGCACAAAATGTATGCACAGGGGTGCTCGGTACAGTCAAATTTGAAATGCAAAAACCAGAGAACCGTCAATAGGGAAATGGTTATCTAAAATATGGTCCATCTATACCATAGAATACTCTACAAGTATTCTATTAAAGGCACGTGGAAACTGTTTAAAAACTGTGAAAACTTTGTTACACCATCACGGAAATATGTCCATAAGACATTGTAAAAGGGGGAGAAATCAGAGAGAAGACTATGTGGACTATGATCCCATTTCTGTAAAAATAATTATATATCTGTATATATTTATAAAGGGAAGGCATTAGAAAGATCCGAAAGAGGGACACACCTCAGACCTTCAAAAGGAGTTTCCTCTAAGGAGGAGAATGAATGGGGGCGGAGAGTGAGAATAAAGAAAAATTATATACTTCTGAAGATTTGAAAATTTTTAATAGGAATAAATTATATTCATGTATTACTTGAGCCATTTTGTTTTAAAGAAAACATGGTGGAAAATGTTTTAAGGCTGTGGTCTTCAAACAAATTCTGTGAGCCACAAAAATATTTTGGAAATAACTAGGGTGCCTTGGCGAGGGTGGGAGGGGTCCCAGGTCTTCCAGCTTCCTGGTTCATATAGAAGCTCCATTTTGAAAAATTTGTTATACCTTATTGGGGTTTCCATTTTTCCTTAAAGGGCTTCTGCTGCTTAAAAAAAATAAAGGGTATAAACTCCTGTATCAAAGGAAACAACAGTTTTAAATTTATCCCAGCCAAAAACAGGGAATCAATTGGAGTTACTGGTCTACCGCTAGATGGCATGATTTAGACTTCTGGTTACATTTGAGGTTAGTTTATCTGGGCTCTGGTGCGTGAGAGGAAGGATGGGGGTTTGGGAGATGGCTGGTAAATGTCCTCAGGGGAAAGGCATGAAATAAAATTCAGGATTTGAAGGGCCGGCCGAGTGGCTCAGTTGGTTAAGAGCTCGCTCGAGAGTGCGAGCCCTGAGCAACAGGGTTGCCGGTTTGATTCCGGGCCCGAGCTGAGCTGCTGCTGAGCTGCCAGCAGGGGCAGGATGGCTCCGCTAAAAAAAAATCAATAAAAAAAATCAGGATTTGGGAAGAGAAAGAAGGCTGAATTCGCCTGCTAGACAAGGCTGTGAGAGAGCACCAGTATTAGCTTATTGGGGTGAGAGTGGGGAGTTCCCACTTACGGGGGAACTACTTTATTGAACTCAGCCTGGGATTTTCACAGAGCAAATCCAATTTATCAAGTCAAGGGTCAGGACCTTTTTCTGCTCCATCCTTGCAGACAGGACTCTCCTTAAAGAACCAATGCCGTCACATGCCTGCCTGTTCCTTGTTCTGCCTTGTGTGTGCAGTGCACTTCCTGCACCAGTGGCCTCAAGGCTTCTGCACAAGCCCTCCCAACTGAGCCACTTGGCCGGCCCCCTGACTTACATTTTTAAGGGATCACATTAGCTGCCTCATGTAGAACAGGGCGGGGTGGGGTGGGGTGGGTGGGTGGATGCAGAGAACACCTTTCTTGGCCTAGACAACATATCCTGTAGCTTCTGCCTGGGCAAACCCAGCTTCTCCAGGGACCAGAGCGCTGAGGACTCCCTTGGGTCCAAGTGGAGATTACACGGTGGAAAGTTAGCCAACTTAATTGTCTGATCTCATATAGATAATTCAAATTTCCTTGAGAGAAAGGAGAAAAATAAGAACAAAGGGAAAGGGAAGAGTGGACAGGAGGGAAGAGGAGGAAAAAGAAGAGGAGCAAATAAAAAAATAGTGTTGGGGAGACATGGCCCAAGAAGAGAGGTGGAGAGAAATTGAGCTGTGCACCCAGTGGCATGCCGGCCAATGCCTGTGGTGTAAACACTCCCACCAGGGCTGATCGACTTCAAGCTTCCGGTGTGATGTCACCGAACGTGGAGTTAGGAAGAGGTGCTGGGACGAGGTGTGCACACTGGCCCTCACAACTGTGTGCTGTGGGCTTAGCTCACCCCTGTTTGGATCCCACAGGGCACATAGGAACGCTCCTAAAGCAACCCACCCACCCAAACCAGCAAATGGAGGGCAAGAAGAAATAGGCGCTTCCTCCCCCACTGCCAAGCCGATTGCTAGTTATGGCAGGTCGAAGGGCTGAGACCTACTTTGGATTCCAGCAGGTGATCAAGGGCTTCATGGTGTGGTGGGTGTGGTCGATCGTCAGGGCCTCGAGAAACCAGTGGAGGGCGCAGAGCTGGCGGAAGAGGGGTTCCCTGCAAAGACAGAGAGAGGGAGCACAGTGGGAACCTGTCAGGATAACACTCTTCACAATTACAGCAACAGGGACAGCAGTTGTGCTGGCTCCCAGCTAGAGAGCTGGGGCCATGCTCCCGGCATGGGTATTTCCCATGCATCAGCTCATTAAACCTTCACCATGGGCCCATGAGATGTTCATTGGCCCCATTTTACAGGCGAGGAATCTGAGGCTCAGAGGATTTAAGGAACTTGTGCCAGGTCACTGGGCTAGAATGTGGCAGAACCGCGATTTGACGTAAGATGACCGTATGCCAGTTACTGGGGGTTTGTATGTGCAAGATGGGAGAGATGATGGCGCAGGGGGTGGGTGGGGGCGTGGTTCCCACAGTGGCAGGTCTTGACTCGAGCAAATGAGAGGATTGAAGAAAATGAATATCCTGCAGGTTTCCAATTGTCCATATGATAAAAGCACAATAAATACACTAAGTGTTGAAGGAGTCTGCAGACACAGGGAAACTAGTGTATTTATTATACTTCTCTCCCCACTCCATATTAACAATTGGACTTATTCCTTTAAATTTATAACTCCTTTGCCTGCAAATGTAGCTGGATATTGAAGAGAAACACACTGAAATTATTGTATTACTTGAAAATGTAACTAAAACACAGTTTAAATCTATATCTAACCTATATTTTCTGATTTTGGGGTGAGGGGGGCATCTTGTATTACAATGAGCCAGGTATTGACTGGGCACTTTACAAATGATATTTAATTCTCTCAACAGCCTGCTGGGGTGTGAGTCATTATCCATATTTTAGAGAAGCGGAAACTGAGGCTCAGAGAGGTGCAGTCACTTTGCTCTGGGTCACACAGCTTGTTGGTGAGAGATGGGATATGAATATCTCATTGAATGCTCCCAACACTGTATAAGAAGAGTACTGTGATTATGTCCTCTTTGCAGACGAGAGACTCGAGGCCCAAGATCACTCTCGGATTTGACCCCGAGGATATAATGAGGACTTGAACCTCAGTCTGTTTAACCCCAGAGGCTGTGCTTTCATGGGCCTGAGCTCTGATTGGTCAAGGTACTGACGAAGCCGACGTAGTGGTCACCCAGACAGTGAGGTCAGGAGAGGGTTAAGCTGTGGTACGAGTATTTGTCCTGGAAACAAGGTGGAATCCTTACCCACCCACCCCCACCCCAAACGTTTTCTCCTCCTAAGCTAATGGGTGCAATGCTTCCATTATGAACCTGTGCAATTGCTCTTCTCTGAAACTGCATCCCGTCTTGATAGATACTCCCGGGCTTGCTGCTCAGAGGGACAGGATGAAGTCCACCCACCCTGCTTCCAGGAAGGCCCCACCTTGGAAGGTGGAGCCCAGGCTCTGGGGCTCAGCCATGGAGCTGACCCCTGGTTATCCTGGAAATCCCTTGAGCGGTGTCCATTTCACTCAGCTTGCAGGGGAACTGCCCACACACACCCCATACCCCGTTCCCAGGTACTGGGGTGGCCATGTCCACCAGGTCTTAGGAAAACCAGAGTCAGCAGCTCTCTTTTTACTTCTCTGGGGCCCCCCTTTTCCACCTTTCCTTCCTTCTACAAACTATTTCCTATTTCCTCGCTTCTAAGGTAAAGGACCTGTAAGCCCACATCCCTTCTGGTTGTTGTCTTTTTCTTTCCCCGTAATACCACCTTGGTTCCTCTAGGTAACCACATTTTGGCAGCTCTGGGCCCTGGGCCATGTCCAGCATTTCTATGAGAGCAGCAGCTCACTGTGCCATGTGCCTGGCCCTGTGCCAGACACCGCACGTCACCCTCACCATAACCCCAGGAAGGTCCGAAAAGCCTGGCGAGATGCCCCCTCTACTGTTCACAGCGGAGAGCCCTGCAGCCAGGGCAATCAAGGGCCCACACAGCCTGCTTAGAAAACCCCTGTGTGCAGAACTCAGGGCGAGCACCCAGGGGTCAGCACACCCAAATCGCCCACTCTGTTGAAACTGCCATACCAGCCAGAACATGAGTAGGCATAAGCATCCCTGAGAAGAAAACGATGTTTTTTTTGTTTTGTTTTAAAGATTTTCTTAATTGGGGAATTGGGGAAGGGCACATTGTGTTTTTCCAGGACCCATCCGCTCCAAGTCAAGTTGTTGTCCTTTAATCTTAGTTGTGGGTGGGCGCAGCCCACCATCCCATGAGGGAATTGAACTGGCAACCTCGTTGTTAAGAGCATGCTGTGCTCTCATCAGCTGTGCCATCCAGCCGTCCGTTGGCAGTTCAGTGGCAGCTCACTGGCCTATGTGGGAATCGAACCGGCAACCCTGTTGCTCAGAGCCTGTACTCTTAACCAACTGAGCCACCCGGCGGGCCTGAAAATGATGTTTTGTTGTCGTTGTTTACTAAGAGAAATTGGAAAAGTGCACATAAAGGCATTCCAGGCACTCCATGCTGACTGCCATGGGCAAAACTGGACACACTTTTCAGACTCTGCTCTCGCTGTACGGTTGCCCATCAAAGCCTGTGAGGGACAGGTCAGTGACCTCAGAGAGGAAAGGAGTGGCTGTTTCTCATTCTTAGAGACCATTTCCTCTTCCCCTTTAAAGATAAGGGTCAAGTCTCCCTTGACATGATTGGATTGATCCCCTTAAAGTCGATTCAGAATCTTCAGCTGGTTGGGGGAACAATTGCATTGCAATTGAAGGGACTGACCAGCTGTGATCCACATTGGCTGATGTAATGACTGAGAAATTGAGAATTGACCAGGCAGGCCCTGCCCTGATGCGTTTTGGTAGACTGATTACGAAATGCCCCGATGCCCCACCCTTCCATCGCTGCATCCACACACTTGACCGTGTGACTTTGCATCTCCCCCATCAAGAGATGGAGTCTTTCCCTCCATTCCTTATATCTGGGCTGGACTGATATCTTGCTTTGGCCAGTAGAAGGTGGTGGAAGGGTCGTTGTGTCCATTCTGAGCCTAAGCCTCAAGAGACTAGGTGCTTAGGTTCTTGTTCTTAGAACCTTCATGACCACCGTGTGAATAAGCCCAGGCTAGGATGATGAGAGACATGTGGCTTAGCCACTCCTGTCACCATTGCCAACAACCTGTGAATGAGGCCATCCTGGTTGGGCCAGCCTTCAGCTCGTGCATCAGCTGGGTGCACACACATACACACGCCCAGCCAGGATCCGCTGAGTGGACTTAGACCAGCAGACCCACCCAGCTGACCTGTACACCTGTGAGCAATAACAAATGGTGGCTGCCTTAAGCCACCCCATTTTGAGGTGGGCTGGAATAGAACAGTAGGTTACTGATACAGTCATCAAATGCAGCAGAGCCTTTTAACAGCTAAGGAGAAGAAAGGGCAGCCTTCCGTCTAGTATAGGAGTCGGCAAATTACAACCAGTGGGCCTACTGCCTGTGTTTGCAAATAAAACTTCTTTGGAACATGGCCACATCCACTCACTGTAGCTTTTATGCTGCAACGGCAAACTTAAGTAGTAGTTGTAAGAGAGACCGTCTGGTCTGCATAGGCTCAAATATTTACTGTCTGTCCCTTTAAAAAAGGTTGCTAATCCCTGGTCTGAGGCATATAATAATAATAATAATAATAATAATAATAATAATAATAATAATAGCAGCCTACCTAATAAACCTGGCACAAAGGTCTGACTTAGGAGATCAGGGTCTCTGTTGTGAGAACTTGGGCAAGTTCTGTCTCCTCTTTGGGCTTTAGTTTCCCCATCTGGCATTGAAGGAAGATGATCAAGAAACTCTCCAGGCACTTCCACAGTTGAGTCAAGCCCCAGTTTGCTCAGACCAAATGAATTGAGGGCGGGCCACCTGAATGTACATTTTCCCAGGCTTTCCACTACCCCCATCCCCAGGTGACTGGGATGCAAGTGAAAGTCTAAGAACCACGGATTGCACCACTTTGTCTCAGAGGACTCATCCACGGCAGAGACAGGCAGAAGTGCAAGTGTTTCCACGGCACGCTATGAGAAATAGCAAGGCCTATTTTTGCAAGGTGTTTGAAGAGTGTCAATCTTCAGCTGCCAATTGGAATGTCCCTGAACAAAGATGTCCATCAAGAAGTCAATCATAAGTATAACTATTGTACTGTGTTGTACAGCTGAACCTAATTTAAAAAAATGCTTATTTCACAATAAAAAAAAAGAAGACAATAATAAAATCCATCAGAGGGAGGTGGGAGGAAACTGGGGAGTGGGGCATCAAAGGCCAGAATATTAGGGAGAGGTAGGGATGTGTCCAAATACATGGTGGTGATGACAGTGATGGTGATGATGGCGGTGATGATGACGATGGTGATGATGATGATGGTGAGGATGCTGATGATGGATATGGCGGTGATGGTAATGATGATGGTGGTGATGATGGTGATGGTGATGATGGTGGTGATGGTGATGATGGTGGTGATGATGGTGGTGATGGTGGTGATGGTGGTGATGATGGTGGTGATGGTAATGATGATGATGGTGATGATGGTGGTGATGCTGATGGTGGTGATGATCATGATGGTGGTGGCGATGGTAAACTGCTGATGGTGGTGATGGTGGTGGCATCTTCCATCCATGAACTAAATGCTCTAATTAATGATCCTACTTTGTCTGCCATCTTGCCCTCTGATTTCACTTTTGCATTATTTTACTCTGCAAGTACACATATCATGAGCTCGTCCAAGGTAAGGCGCTGGGACACACTTTCTGGGTAGTGTGCGGTGGTGAGAGCTCGGGCTCTGAAGTCAGACAGACTTGGCTTAAAGCTGCAGTGCAGCCTTATGCTGAGTTCTGCGAGCTTGGGCCGCAAGTACACTTCTCTGAGCTTCTGCTTTCTTGTCTGCACAGAGGGGCTAACAGTATACTACACGAGAGGCCTGAATGAGATAATGCCTACAAGAGCACTCAGTAGCTCCATATTACTGTGCACAGTGTAGGGACCTAATAAATATTTGACAAATGAGTGGACAGAGAAATCTCGAATTCATTGCACCATGTTCATTGCCCTAAAGTAGTTTTCAACAAGGAAGGAGAGGTGGTGGGAGTGTGTGGGGGTACGATTTTGCTCCCTGGGGACATTTGTCAATGTCTGAAAACATTTTGGTTGTCACACTGAGGGGTGGGGTGCTACCGGCATCTAGTGGGTAGAGGCCACGGATGCGGCCAAACACCCTACAATACACAGGACAGTCCCCCACGACAAAGAATTTCTTGTCCCTAAAATGTCAATCACGCTGAGGTTGAGAAACCCTGCCTTCAAGTCAAATGCTTCCATCTCTGTGTTTGAAACCTTCCCATTGAAAAATGCTAACTAGCGAAAAAGAAAAAGTTGGGCTTGAAATTCTCTGGCACCGATGCAAGGGGAACAAGATGTCAAGGTTTTAGAAAGCCAGGTTGTTCTGGGAGGGTTGATTAGCCCGTTCCACCATGCCATGATGAGTTCATGCCTCAGGTCAGAAGATGGCAGGGCTTCTCTGGGAAATAGCTCCTTGAGGCTTGGGGAAAAACGTGTCCCCTGAGCCCTGGCTGAGGTGTTGTCGCAACACGCTTGGCGAGGGCTGGAGACAGATTTTATCAGGCTTTGCAAACTATTTGACATTAGCGCGTCTGGCTTGGGAAAGAATGGAATGACTCAGCCCTAGCTGATTTGCCACTTAGCTCTAAACCACCGGTCTGCTGTCTGTGATTTTTACACGCCAACTACTGTTGTCGGCTCCAGGCTCCGTGGCCCTTTCAAGAGGACAAAGGAACAACTCCACAGCCCCGGACGCGCTAGCTGGTGGAGGCATTTCACCTTGACCTTGCTTCAGAAGCTAGCAAGGCAGACTAGCCAGGGGTGAGCTCTACTTACACATGAGCCTCAGGTAGCGACGGCGAGATGATGCAGCTGTGTATCGGGGTGAATGGGCGAAATATGACTTCATGCGCCACCTTCTTAGTCTTCTCGTCATTATACGTGCTGGAGGAGAAGCAGAAAGAGAGAAATGGAGTGAACCAGAACAGCAGTTTTCAACACCTTCTCTTGCCAGGGGTTACTTGGCAGATATGACTGGGCACCAACTATGTGCCAGGCGATAATTATGACTCGAGAGATGAAGGTTTTAGATGCAGCCAATGAACAGAGCAGATGAAACCCTTTCTCTTGTGGAGCGCATATTCTAGTGGATGAGTGAAGAGAATAAGCAGGATAGATAGGTAAATTGCGTGGTCTACTAGTGTACTAGACTAAGAGCCAGATATATTTTCTTAAAGACCCAGACAGGTATTTATGGCTTTGTGGGACAAAGCAGCCATGGACAGTATGTAAACAATATGTAATGGCAGTGTTCCAATAAAACTTTATTCACAAAAATCAGCCTGGGGCTGGATTTGGCCAACGCGGCCTCCCCTCCCCGTACTAGATAATGATATATGCTATAGGGAGAAAAAAAGCAGACTGGGGGGTTCAGAAAGGCTGGGAGTTGCAATTTTAAGCAGGGTGATTAGGAAGGTGTCCCCGAGAAGGTCACATTTGCTTAAAATCTGCAGAGTGTAAAAGAGTGAGCCATTCAGATATCTGGGGCAGAGCCTTCTGGACGGTGGGAACAACACGTGCAAATGTCCTGAGGTGGGACTGTGCTGTAGAGACAGAGGCCAGTGTGGCTGGGGTGGAGTGAGCAATAGAGAGAGAAGGCGGAGGAGGGTGGAGAGAGAACAGGGGCCTTGGGGACCCTTGCAAAGACTTTGGCCTTTTCGCTGAATGAGAGGAAAGGATTTTGAGCTGACTTGCATCTGAAAAGGATCCTTTGGCTGCTGTTTGGAGAATGGCCTACCGTGGACGGGCAGAGAAGAAGTGGGGGCACACAGTAGGAATTTACCTTCCTTCTAGAAATGTGAGGCCAACCCTGGGGTCACAGAGTTAACTGAAAAATAGGACCAGAATCTAGGTTCCTGATTTCCATTCCCATGGGCTCTTTATTCAACCCCAGAGCTGAGGACGCCACAAGCGATACCTTGGGGTGCCCAGTTTCACTGGCTCAGCCGTTTCCCCCAGTGGTTTAGAATATGTCGAAATTAACCCAGCTTTTACACGCCTTCATCATCGCTGGCTTTATGTCTTCTCTCCACCACAATAATAAGACAAATTCTAGCTGTTGTTTTTTTTCCCACCTTTTCAGCTGAATTTGCAGCTGAAAAACGAGGTCATCGAGCACAGTGGGAAAGACTGCTCGCAGGCAGAAACCTTTGGGGACACGCTTGATTTTCTTTCTCGCTTGCATAGTTTGTCAGACTTAAAACTTTTGTCTAAAAGAACTTATCCTCGGGTCTTAGATCCAGAGGGGAGAAAAATAATCCCTTTGGCTTTTATAATGCGCAAGATCAAATACCTTGTTAAAAAAAGCACTTAAAAACGAACACTTATACTTTTGATACTTCTGTGATTGGAGTTACAGAAGCATAGCTCTTAGATGTGAGATGCTTTCCAGCCTGCCTGGAAATGAAGATTTTTAGCCATAAATCTGTGGATTTTAGGTAATTGAAGCCCGGAGAGATCAAATTCTCTTTACTGTATAATAATAGCTCACGATCACCAGGAATTTAGTATATGCCAGGCTCTGTGCTAAGCGTTATTTCATTTAATCCTCACAACAAACTTGGGAGTTTGGTGCCATTCGTGTGGGTGAAGAAAAAGGAGGTTCAGAAAGGTACAGACATTTGCCCCAAAGTTAAACAGCTGTATGGGTGAAGCCGGGACTTGAACCCAATCCTGTGCTCTTCACCACTGCTCTGGACTGGTATGGACAGTCTGTCGGTGCTGTTTTATAACCCCTGCCTCCCACCTGTCTGCATATGATGGCTGCGTTGCAGTAATGGCCTCCAGTTATGTTTTAATAACCAGCCCTGTACAGCTCCTAGAATTCACCAGATAGGACATAACCAGACCGATGTCTATAAGAGGACTGATCTCATGCATATTTCAACTTATTAAACTTTAAATAAACCATGTCTCGCATACCGAAACATGGATCGGAGTGGGGAGCATTGTGTCTTGTGACCATGGCTTAAAAACCCCATGCAAACAAGGGAAGTGTTACAACCGAACTATTTAAGCAGCCACAAGAGGATCTTTAACAGATGCCACCCCCTTCCCCAGTGCCCATTAATCTGAGCACCGCTCCTGCACCAAAGTGTCACGAGTTCATTCCTTCTCTTTATCCCAGGGAAAAGCTGCCAGCCAGCTATGTCACTCTCTGAGCATCTTATGGCTCAGGGGAGGCAGAATTTGCACTGAGCTCCTGGGACCCTCATGGAGAGGGTAAGAAAACCGCGCCCCCTCCTCCACCCTCCTAGCTTCTGGAGATGCCTTCCCTTCAGGGGCCCATGAGGACACCTCCATGGTGGCCTGTTGAGTGACTGGATGGAAGTGGCTTAAGTCCTGACTTGAGCTTTTTTTTTTTACTCTGAAAATAATATTTCTGACTTTTGGCAAAAGACAGATACTGGGCTGGCCAAGTGGCGCGATGGTTAAGATCTGGCTTGGGATGCCAGAGGGCTCCGGTTCGGATCCCACATATGAGGGCCAGTGACACTGCCCTCTACAGCTAAGATGCTGAACAATAGCTCAACCTGGAGCTGGGCTGCCGCCAGTGACGGCGTAAGCTGCAGCCCCTGTGGCAGTGGGTTGCCATGGGCTACCATGTGTAGCCAGCAGCCAGCGTAAGCGGCCAGCAGCCACCGTGAGTTGCCGTCCAGAAGCCGGCGACTGATCTGCCTCGCCCAGGAAGAGTGCAATGATGGTGCCAGCTTGGGACAGTGAAGCAACGTCCTCCACAACTAGACTGAAGAACAAAAGGACAGCAACTTGTCTGTTCCCCTTCCCCCAATTCCCCAGCACTGTTCCCATCCCCCCAATTCCCCAATAAAAATCTTAAAAAAAAAAAAAAAAGACAAATACTGTCACACCCTTCTTTTTCAGCCCTGGGCTTCCTAACCAGGAATGCTGGCTGCGGGGGTTTCTAGTGGGCTGATATGGATGTGTCTCATCACACCTCTTTTTTGTCAACCAGTGAACTCCATTCAGCATTCAAGATCCTGCTCAAAAGTCACACCTCTGGGATTCTCCCCAGATTCCCGTTTCACCCCCTGAACTTGAGGGGATGGGCATTGTGAAATAAGAGAACACACATACATATGGCCTCTGCCTCTGGATTCTGGCACAGAACTCCTAAAACCTTGTCATTTCCTAAGTGATAATGTCACTAGGAGCACCTTTTGTTCTAATATTTGGTCTTAGACCCTGGTTCCTGGCACACAGTTCCTAAATCCCTTGGCGTTTCCTGGATGATCGGAGGGTCTTTTGTTCTAATGAGACAACTCTGGGTGGGCTCCTGGTTGGCGTCAGGATGGGGGCTGGTCACCGGAAAGACCCAAGCTATGACTAGAAGATTGGAGCTTTCAGAGTTCATGATAGATCATGCCTACGTGATGAAGCCTCCATAAACATCCCCAAAGTATAGGGTTCGGAGAGCTTCTGGGTTGGTGAATACATCCACAAAATGGGACGGTGGTGCACCCCAACTCCGTGGGGACAGAAGCTCCTGTGGTTGGGACCCTTGCAGACCTTGCCCTAGATACCTCTTCATCTGGTTGTTCATCAGGATCCTTTGTAATATAATAAACTGGTAAATATAAATCAGCGTTTCCCAGAGTCCTGTGAGCCATTCTAGAAAATGATCAAACCCAAGGAGAGAGTTCTGGGAACCCTGATTTATAGCTGGTCGGTCAGTCAGAAGTACAGGTGACAGTCTGGGACTTGTGATTGGCATCTGATATGGGAGCAGTCTCATGGGACTGAGCCCTTAACCTGTGGCATCTGATGCTGTGTCCAGGTAAATAGTGTCAGAACTGAATTGGATGGCAGGACGCCCAGCTGATGTTGCAGAGAATTGCTTGTTGTGTGTGTGGGGAGAAACCCCACATACTTGCTGTCAGAAGTGATGTAAATGGGTTTGTAGTCTGAAAGTAAAGGAGAAAAACATGGCAGAAGTGGTCATCCCTTACTGTTTGAAAGGGTTTTACGGGGTGGAATTCAATGGCATTTGAAATTGATGGTTGTGCAACCATTACCTCAATCTAGTTTCAAAATATTTTTATCGCCCCCAAAGGACATTAACCCAATCCCATTAGGTAGTTACTTCCCTTCCCTTCTCCCCGCTCCCTTAGCCCCTGGTAACCACCTCTCTGCTTTCTGTCAGGGATGCATTTCAAAGACATTATGGTAAGAGAAAGAAGCCAGACACACATAGGTCCCACATTCTATACTTCTACTGATAGGATCCTTTGTTTTTAAGAAGCACTTACTTGTATTCATATTTCTTTGAGTTAACGTGGTGAAGAATAGAATTTGGGAAATGATACAGCTGACAGGGGGTATCTACTGTGGGTTCCATTTCCTTTTTAGCCACAACTTGGCAATTTGGGTTCCTGAAGATAGCCCTAGCACAACACCTCTCAACCTTGGCTTCAGCCTGGAATCATCTAGGGGGGCTTTAATAACTGCGTCCAGGTAACACCCCCATAGAGCCTGGTGTAATTGGTCTGCAGTGTACTCTGGGCGCTGGGATTTTAAAACCTTCCCAGGGGATTCTAATGTGTAGCCAGAGCTGAGACCGCTGCTCTAGTTGGCCAGTGGCTGCAGTGGCAGCCATTTGTACCGTGTATTTCCTCTCTACCTGCCTCAGCACCTCCTTTCTATCCCTGCTTTGTGCCTCATTCAGTCTGCATGAGCTAAGGACCCTAGGATTTTGTCCACGCCGAAGGGTGCAGTCCATGGATTTTGGTGTCATTTGGTTTGGACTCAGGGATGCTTTCTAATTTATAGCCTGAGTCATCTCTAAGCCTCATTCCTTATCTCTACAATGGGGCTAATATTACCCATCTCATAGGAATGTTTTGAAATTTAGACAAAAATGTGTGCATAAAGCATATAGAGATACTCATAATTATTGTGGTTGCTATTATTATAATTGCTATTGTGATATGGATGGATGTTTCATAACGGACCAGTCTGATGATGATCCTCCCCCAATGGGAGGAAAGACTTTTATTTAAAAAAAAAGGGGGGAGTTGGCTACTTTAGTCAACAAACCAGCAAACACTGTTTGTCTGCCGCTTTGGGTGGACATGGAGCTAGGATCTGGGGTTTCAAGTGAGGGTCCAGAACACTGATGTGGATTAAAGCGAATGAGCATTAAACACATTATGGGAACCCAGAGTCCAAATGGGTTCTTGAGGTGGTTGGGCTGAAATCCAGGAAACCAGGAGAGGGCGGCATTTCAGCTGGGCTTTTAATGATCAGTAGAACTTCAGTTGGAAGAGGATGTAGGGAAGAGCATTTAAGGCCCAAGGAACAGCATGGGGAAAGGCCCGGAGGTAGGAGCAAGCCTGGGAGGGAGAGGGAAAGGGAAAGAGGCATATTTGGGGACCAGCAGGATGTCCTGTGTAGCTCTTGGCATCGGGATGTGAGGGCAGACATAGGTGGTAGAAGATATTCCACTGACTACCAGAAGGGGAGACTGACAAGGTAGGCTGGACCACGCTACACATCGTCATTGGGCACCAGCCTGAGATGGGGCTCCCACTCTGAGACGGCTGCCATTTCTCAGCCCAACCAGGCAGGGCTCATTCTCCGTGGTTCTTCCTAAGACCGCTAGAGTCATGGCTACTGTGTCTACTTACGCCAAGAGAATAGCCCCGTAATGGATTTCTGAGATCTTTCTGGCCGGTTGGAATTTATGTCTTTCTTCCTCTTTCAGTTTCTGAAGTTGTTGTCTCTTTTTCAATGCATTCTCCTCCCTCAGCATGGTGAAATATCCGCGGCCCATCTTCACAGACTTAACCAAAAAACTAGAGAGAGGTGGAGGGAGGGAGGGAGGGAGGGAGGGAGGGAGAGAGAGAGAGAGAGAGAGAGAGAGAGAGAGAGAGAGAGAGAGAGAGAGAGAGAGAGAGAGAGAGGGGGAGGGAGGGAGGGAGGGAGGGAGAGAGAGAGAGAGAAAGAGAGAGGGAGGAGGAGAGAGGACCATTAAGACACTGTCTTACTGTCTCGGGACTGATCATTGCTAAAGAATACTCTTATGCCTGCAGGGCAGAAGGCTTCCCATCTTTACAATTCCAAATCAGGTAGACCTGAGCTGGAATTCTGGATCCACCTTTTACCAAAGACCTTGAACAAAGTCTTTCACCTCTCCAAGTTTCCCATCCTTCATCGCTCCATCACTGAACAAGGATTCATTGAGTGCCTACGAGGTGCCAGGCACTCTGCTAGGTGCTGTAAGATGAGCATAGCACTTCGCACCCCACAGGATCAGATACCTTCATGCATGGGAAGGGGTCAGCAAGGTGCCAGGCCCCGAAGAGGGGCTCATCCATGATAATCAATAGCAGATCAGGTGCTATGTGGCCTGGGCTCCCTGCCAAGGCTGCCTTCTAGATTGGCCTGCTTGCTCCGTTTTGCTTTCAAGCTTCCAAATCCACTAATCATTAAAGAGTGTCCTGAGGTTGCAAGATAACCTGATAGAAAGAAAATCGTTACTACTTCCCCCCTCCCTAATTTCACAAATGGGGATTTCCTTGATGTAACGCAAACAAAGGAAGCACAGAGCTCGCCTGGGAGCTGGGGCTGATGGGATAGCAGCCGGTTTTCATTGCTGCGTTACTTCACAGAGACTCTTGACTCAAAATTTGGTTCCGGGGTCAAGACTGACACCACACATGCACCAAAAGGGTATGAAGTGACTTATTACTCACATCATGAGGCTTTCTGGGCAGCATGGGAAGGCTCCCGTGGCGACCTGAAATCAGCTTCAGGGGTGACTGGCCTAGGGTTTTATGGTGGTTAGGGAATGGAGTTGGGGCAAGGGTTCCCCTGTTGCAATGTGGTTTGAGCTCCCCGCCAGCACCAAGAGAAGGAGCACCTGGGCTTTCTTACCAGCTTGCCCAGATGCGGGGCAGAATTGGAAAGGGGAGAAGGCGGGGTGGGGGAGTTGGGGATTGGGAAGCTGTCAACAGCCACACGTCAAAAGTGGAGCCAGACTCTTTTTTTATTGCGTTAATTCACACCCAGTTTCAGATGTGTGTGTTTGCCTTGAATCGTGGTACTGCTATCAAATATTCATCAGCAATGTATTGAATACCTACTATGTGCCAGGCACTGTTCTAGGCATTGAGATCCAGCAACAAACAAAACAGCCATCAAATTGTTGCCTTTGTGAAGCTCGTATTTCACAGGGGTGGAGACAGACACAAAACAAAGACGGAAGCTGTAGACATCAGGCTAAGTGCTGTGGAGGAATATAAAACAGGGCCATGGGGAGGGTGACCGCTAGCAGTGGGGAGTGTTGGTTCCTTTAAGTAGATGGCCAGCCGGGAAGGTGGCATCTGGGGGGAGATGTGAGGAGGGGAGGGAGTGAATCACACAGGGGTCTGGGGGAAGAGTGTTCCAAGCAGAGGGGAACAGCAGGTGCAAGGGCCCCGGGCAAGTACAATTTTAAATGAAGAAAAGTTACGTTTTTGTTGAATCAAATGTTATGTGATATCACATTGTACATTTTGTGCTACTAAAATATTGTATAATATTTGCCTACTTTAGATGTTGGGGTTCTGTTTAAGATTTTTGTTTGGCAGAAAGGTTCTACTCTAAAACACGAGGGAAGGAAAGAAGGCAAAAGGAAGGGAGGGAGGGAGGGAGGGAGGAAGGAAGGAAGGAAGGAAGGAAGGAAGGACACTGCTGTGTCCCAGACTCGAAAATGGAGGAAAATACCAGGTGATGTTGCTGCCCTGGGCACCTGCATCCCACAGCTTTCCTCTAGGGTGCTACTCTAGGAGGCGATAGATTTTACCATTTTAATGAAGAAGCTCGTCTCTACTAACTCAATCTAGCATCCTCATGCACAGGGTCCTAGGAACAGAGCTGTAGAGGTCCCTCTCTGCCATTGGACTTCAATGACATTTCTCAAGTGCCTCTAGTACGCTCTTGAGTCACAGCAAATCATGCACTTAGGAGGCTTTCTGACTGAAGTAGGCAATGATGCGATTTCACATCTGTGGTAGAACTTGGCCCTGCCTGCCGGTATTTCTGTGCCCCGCCCTCCCGACCCCCTCACTTCCGGGTGCATGAATTCGCTTGTTGATCCTCACAGTAACTCTAGGTTGTAAGTGCCGTTATTATCACATCCATTGACAGATGAGGAAACTGAGGCCCAGAAAGGGGAAGTCACAAAGCTGGAAAGGAGCAGAGCCGGGGTCTGAACCCAGGGAGTGGAGTCCCTGAGGGGTCCAGTTGTCCACTGGGCTGGTCTGTAGAGCATCAGGCTGCTCCTCAGTGTGGCTGGTCGGTCTTCCCATAGGAAAGCCTCAACAGCCTGTCCTGGAAATCTCTTTCATTGACTTTGGCGATTCTGTGGGCCACTAGGTCCTTGGGTGACTTGGGTAGCTTGCCATTGATTGGCAGGTGTCAGGGGCCCCGCTTTAGCTGTCAAGTCTTCCTTGCTGTCATTTAGAGTCTCTCGTGGAGGGAAAGGCTGGGCTGTCAATGAGACCTGGTGGGTCCTGGGGCAGACTGCGGTCTTCAAAAGTGTGGGGCCCGCGCCAAGAACACTTACCATGTGTGATGGTGGTGCGCGACAGTGGGGGTGGCTTCAGGGACATTGAGCAGATCCAGCTGGCTCAGTGAGCTTTTGGGCTCTGATTTCATTGTACGACTGGACAAAAGTTTCCATCCTTCCCTGCAAAACCTGTAACCAACTAGATCCTGAAACGTATGTACTGTGGATTGAATTGTGGCCCCTCCCTCCTGCCAAAAAAAATTTGTTAGGTTGAAGTCTTAACCCCCAGTACATCAGAATGTGACCTTATTTGGAAATAGGGTCATTCAGATGTAATTAGTTAAGATGAGGTCCTATTGGAGTAGGGTTGACCTCTAATTCAATGTGACAGGTGTCCTTATATAAAGGAAGACATTGGGACACAGACATGCACACAAAAAGAAGGCCATGTGAAGATGAAGGTAGACATGGGGTGATGCTCCCACAGGCCAAGGAGTGCCAACGAGTGCCAGCAAACCACTAGGCGCTAGGAGAGAGGCATGGAACAGATTCTCCCTCACCGCCCTCAGAAGGAACCCACCTTGCTGACACCTTGATCTTGGACTTCTAGCCTCCAGAAGTGTGAGGCAATAAGTAAATTTCTGTTGTTTAAGCCAGCTGGCAGCCCTAGCTAACTAATACAGTATGATCAAATATCTAAGGCCTACACTCATGGAATAGTCTAACTCTGTTTTCTTCGACAGTGGTGGTTAACAATTCTTATTAATTAACTTTATAATAAGTGACAGGCTGATGCCACAGTACATCCAAAGGGGCTTGAATATTATGTTCCAGGCTTGGGCTAGACCAGGGGTCGGCAAACTTTTGAGATGGAAGAGCCAATCCTGTCCCTCACAATTTAAAAATTATTTGAGAGCCATAAAACCATTATGTGAATAATATCCTTTAAAAATTTGATAAATGAAACTATAATAGTTTTATTTTAATTTTCTATTTTACTTCAGAGCCACATGTACGTACCCAAAGAGCCTCATGTGGCTTGCGAGCCGCAGTTTGTTGACCACTGGCTAGACCCCTGTCATGTGTCAGATTCTGTTTTAGGCACTTATTAGGTGTCAAGTTCTGTTTAAAGCACAGGCATTATAAAGGTGAATGCATTGTCCAAGAATTCAGTCTTTACCTCTGCATCTTAGTGATCTATTTTTTTTGTAGTAATTAAGAAGTTGGTAAGAGATTTATATGACTGTTCTATCCTTATTAGAAACAGAAAAAAAGAAAGTGAGAAAGGCAGGAAAAACCAGAAAACAAAATCAGATAAGACAAGTATGAAAACCCTTGCCATGTGATCTAGTGAGCATCCTAGTGGCCAATGCAAAGAGGGAAACGCAATCCCTCACATGACTCCTAATGACCATACAATTTTTAAAAAGCAGTTCAGGTGATACCTAGCTTTTCCTCGTGCTGAAACTAGGAAGAGCTTTCTTTCAAAGATCTGTACATGAGGATATTGTGCAAAGTCAAGTCCATAATAACCCCCTAAATGCAAATAGAGTCACAAATGCCTATATCTCAACAATTAACTCTCAGAAAGGGATAAGGGAGTCAGGGTTGACCAATTTGAGGACTCTAGCAAGCAAGCCTTCCGGCAGAATGGCAGCCCCTCTTCAACCAAGGCAGGCAGACTCCCAGTTGCTATACCTTCTGCAAAGACCTGGCAAGCAATGAACAGAGCTGGGGGGAGGGGCTGGGCGCTTGTGTCAGATGCATCGTCTATTCCGGGAACTTCAGGCTGCGAGAGGTTCGTTCAGCAAGCTGTGAAGTGTTCCCCTGGCATCACGGAGGCCCATTTAAAAATGCTTAATATTTTAGCAAATTCCCACTTAATTCCCTTGTATGTTCCCTACATTTTCTTCATCATTATTGCTGATTACCAGGCTATTTGTGTGAAGGGACCTATTTGCAGGGAAGAGCAGTTTTCGCCTTTAAATCTGCTCACTCGGGGCCTACTGTTCACTGCTTTCCATGATGTAAAACTCCCCTGGCTAACATCGCAAGCAGAACGATTGGGCGTCAAATAATTAACTGCGGCAGGCAAGCGGAGGAAGGAGATTATAAAATGGAAAGTTTCCTCTACCCAGCGCAACTTCCTCTTCCCGATGCGTGGGGGTGGCTTTTTACTTTTAAGGGACATACGTTCTCCATACAGGAGTCGGTGTGTGAGCTGGTGAATGAAGAACTCTCTTCTGCAATAGGAACACTCACAGCGGGGCTTGGCTGAGAAAGACCCAAGGGCCAGTGTATGCA